TTCTCATATGTTGTTTTTTATTGTCCCATTTTTTTTAAAAAAAAGCTCTCTATTTTTGTAAATTTCTATAACTTTTTTTATTTATAGTCTGGTTTTTACAAATATATCAATTTTTTAACTTTTATTATCTTTCATATGACACCAATACTACATATATAAAAACAAAAGAAAAACTGAATACGATTGATGGAGGTTTTTAAGTTCAATTTTTAAGTGGATCCCAAGTTCTAAATTAAGAGTATGTTTGGTAACACTGAAATTGATAAAGTTCTTTCTCAAGTTGCCTAATTTGCTTACTTATTAAATAATTATATTTAAAAAATATTTATTAATAAAATAAAGAAAAATTATACGGAGTATGAAAATAACTAAAATATTCATTTACAATAATTTCAGCCAAAAAAGTAAATCCAACCATATAATTACTTATTTTGATTATTTTTATTCTTATACAATCTATATCAACTTCAGCCAATTTTATGTTGCACCGAGTGTGGATGAGTTGTACGATAGTATATTTGTCAAAATAAGTAAGGTTCGAGTTACTTCTCTAACTGAATTGGTTGAAGTTATTGTAGATGAACATTTAAGCTATTTAAATGTCTTTTTCTTCTTTATTTTAATAATTAAATATACCAGAACAACAACATACAAGCCTTAGTCCCAAAAGATATTGGGGTCGGCTAACATGAATCGATACATGATATGTAATACCCCGAAAATTTGAGAGAATTTGGGAAATAATTAAAATTGTGTTTCATATTGTTTACATGGTCTTTAGGTCGTTTATTATGTTTGGTTTAGTGTTTAGGACAAAGGGGAGGTCCAAATGGGGAAGAAACGGGGCAAAAACTAAGGTTTGGGGCGTCTGGGGTCACGCACGGCGTGCGTGGAAGGTACGCACGCGTGCGTTCCTGTTGTATCCTAATGCAACTCAAACTTCGGAAATTCACTATAAATACATCCCTAATCCGATTTTCCTCATTCAAAAAACCCTAGGAGCGCCTCTTCAAGATCTATCCCTTCCACATCTTCAATATTAACGTATCCAGCACGAAATTTTATGCCAATGATGAGATCAAATAATCCAATATTCCGGTAAGTGCGTTTGTTGCCTAATTCGCGTCGTTCATCCGTTTCCTAAATTTCTTTCTCCTAAATTGAGATCCTTCGAACCTATCACTTCCTAGGTACGTGCGAATGATCCATCAAACTAGGTTTGACGTTTAGGATTCGTTGCTAGCCTCGAGGTAAGGACTATTGCAACCAAAATTACTATTTTGCCCCTATATTGTATAAACTAGGGTTTGTGCTATGATTTGAGTTTCTTTCTGAAATTTTATGGATAATTCGGCTATAATAGTATGAGTATGATGATGTATGCTTTTCTTGGAATTTATGAACGTGTGATTTTTGGTGAATTTATCAAATCAGTTTATCATGGCTAAAATTGTGATTTTTGATGATTGTTCTTTTGGGATTGGAAAATTTTGGTGATTGTTTTGGTATGAGTTGAAGAATGATTTGTGACTATTATAACTGGTTATATTGAAAATATGTTATGGGTTCAGAATACTCCAATTTGATTATTTTGGTGGTAGTAGTAAATGCTACTTTTGGGAAGTGGTTGTTTGGGTTAAACCCTCTTTTTGGAAAGTGTTGTGAGATCAAATCTTTTGGGATAAATTATATATTTTTAAATGTATAATTTGGTATGAAAATTTACATATATATTGTGGAGTTATAAATATCCTTATTGGATTATTTTGAATATGGTATTAAATACTATTTTGGAACTAGTTTTGGATAAACCCTAAATTGTAAGTTTCTCTGCCGATCCAAAATGGTTTCCTCGTATTATATGCTATTATTTGATTAAAGTTTGAATTTTGAATATGTATTATTTGAAGTGACATTAAATTTATAGTATTTGAGAAAGTTGAGATATTGGGGTATTAAATATTTTTTTAAACACCATTGAGAATATTTGGAGACTTGAGAAATATTCGGTGCTATGTGATTATTATGTGCTATGTGATTATGTATTGAGTTTTTGAATTATGTATATGTGTTATTTAAAGAGATATTTAATCTATAGTATTTGAGAAATACAAACTATGTACTTTTGGGGTATTAAATACGTTTAAACACCTTTTAGACTATTTAGAGAGTTTGGAAAATATTTTGAAGTGTATCTTGATTCAAGATGAAAATTAACATTTTCATAAGAGGTGAGCACCCCGGGAGAAATCCGTGGTGTCGGTTTTTCACATCCGGATAAATGTGGAGGATGGTTAGGGCTACTACTACTTGAAGAGAACAAGTTTAGTGGCCGTTTCGATTCAAGAGATAGTGATGGGAACTGGATTCCGGGATGAGTTCGTAAATAACAACGACTCATTGGGCTTCGGGCATAAGTATCCGAAAGTACCGCCCATCTTAAAAGAAAGTAGGAGATTTTGGTTTTGGAAAGAGGAAGACTATGGAGGTTATTTTCAAAGAGCAATTGAGTATATTTAAAAAGAGTGATTAGCTATAAATTATATTTTGAAAAGTGATACTTGTATATGAATGTGTGAGTTACTAAGATTTCATAAATATTATTTTAAACACCAAATTAATTTTGAGGGAAGAAAATGAACTTTTAAAGTTATAGTTATGTATAAAACTATTTTCGCCAAACGTGATTATTTTACGGGGTTGGGTGGGCCTTACTTAGCTAAAAAGCTAATTTTTGTTTCCTTTTCTTTGTTTTGTTTTCTGCACTTTAATTGTGCAGGTGATGAAGGTTATGCATGATGATGAGAGATGCGTTAGATCACGTAGTTTAGTATTTATAATCACCTAGTTATTGTTTATTTCAGTTTGAGAACATGTAGACATTTAAATTATTTTTTGAAATTTTCAGTACTTAAATACTTGGATTATTTTTGGATGGTGGTTTAGTTTGTGCATTCGGCTAAGAGATAGTCGGATGTGGTGGTGACACCCCTTTTTCCATTAAATTATTGTTTCCGCTGCATTACTATTTATTTTAATAAAGTACGTTTTTACTGATTAATACTATTTCAAGTATTATTTTGGGAGGGAAAATGGGGGTGTTACATGATATCACCACCAAAAGGAAAAGAAAGGAAATAAAGATAAAAAAGATGAGTTATTATAAAAAGATAATATAAAAAGAGATGAATATACATAAAAATGATAAAATAAAAAGGATAAAAATAATGCATATATATATAAGGATGAAAAACAAGGAAAAAAGATGAGGGAAAAAGATGATACAAGATCACTCCTCCACACGAATACCCGCCCTCCACTTAGCTCTCTCCAAAGTCATGTCATCATCCAACCCCAGAAGAAGCATATCACTTTGAACTCCCCTAACCCACGTCTGTTTGGGTCTTCCTATCCCTCTTCTCCGCCTCTTCTCCACACATCTCAACTCGTCTGCCAGGTGCATCACTCGGTCTTCTACGCACATGACCAAACCACCGTAGGTGCGACTCCCACATCTTGTCTTCAATAGGTGCTTCTCCCACCATTTGTCTGATTGTGTCATTCCTCATGTGATCCTTCCTAGTATGCCCACACATCCAACGCAGCATGTGCATCTCTGCCACACTCATCTTTTGAATGTGACATTGTTTCACCGTCCAACATTCTACGTCATACAGTAATGCAGGCCTAATTGCCGTCCTATAAAATTTACCCTTCAGTCTAGTCGGCATACCTCGATCGCATAGAAATCCTGACGCACTCTTCCATTTCATCCACCCTGTTCTGATTCTATGGGATACATCTCCTTCTAACTCACCGTCCTTCTGAATTATGGAGCCCAAGTAACGGAGCATATCGCCGACTGGTATCTCCTTACCATCCAGAGTAATTCCGCTATTACCATTGCTTCTACCTCCACCAAACTTGCACTCCATGTACTCTGTCTTGCTCTGACTTAGTTTGAAACCCTTATTCTCCAATGTTTGTCGCCATACTTCCAACTTTGCTTTAAGACTTGATTGCGTCTCATCAATCAATACAATATCGTCGGCAAACATCATGCACCACGGTATATCGTCTTGAATTGACTTCGTAAGTTCATCCATGACTATGGCAAATAAGAAAGGGCTCAGAGTCGATCCTTGGTGCACTCCGATAGTAATAGGGAACTCTTCAGTCCTTCCTACACTTGTACGAACACTTGTAGTACAATCCTCATACATATCTATGATGATGCTGATATACTTGCGTGATATGCCTTTCCTGGTTAAGGCCCACCAAAGAACTTCTCGAGCTACCTATCATATGCCTTTTCTAAGTCAATGAACACCAAATGCAGATCCTTATGAACGTCTCTATACTTCTCCATAAGTTGCCGAAGAAGGTGAATGACCTCAGTTGTTGAGCGACCAGGCATAAAACCGAATTGATTCTCTGAAATCTTCACAGTTCTTCGAAGTCTTTGCTCAATCACTCGCTCCCAAAGTTTCATGGTGTGACTCATAAGCTTAATCCCTCGATAGTTGGCATATTCTTGTACAAATAAAATTATTTTAATACTTAAATATATTTAAATAAAATTATTTCGTAATTTAGATTGTATAAATTACAATAAATGAAGTTACACGGAATTTTGTGAAGTTACTTTAGATTGTATAATAATTAAAATAATCAAATTAGATAAAGTTGAAGTTACTTTTCTCCCTACGTTTACGGTGAACATTTTAACTATTTTTCATATACTTTTTTCTTTATTTTATTAATGAAATATATTTCATAATTAAGCAAATTTAGTCACTTTACCCAAAACTTTATCAATTTCAGCCCATTTTTCTAATTTAAGTATTGCGAAATAGGTCATTAATTTTAGAACTTGGATCCACAAAATAAATAAAAACTTGCACCCATCATATTTTCAGATTTGTTTTTGTTTTATATATTCAATATTGGTGTTATATGAAAAATAATAAAAAAATATGAATTTTGATATATTTTGTGTAAAAAACAAATTATAAATAAATAGAGATTCTTTAAAGTTGGGTCCCGCTAATGTAATGTAAGAAACATACAAGTGTACAACTAACTTATGAAGATACATACTGCGTAGTACGTACTAGACAATCTGATGATAATAACGGAAAGCGGAGAGCTAGAGGGCCTCGGCTTGAAGAATCTCAAGTTCAGCCCACCAGAGGGGCGAGTCTCTGGGAAAAGCGGCCTGTGGAGATATATTGCTGACTTTCCTCAACTTCTCAATGACTTCCTTGATCGTTGGCCTCTTCCTCGCGTCTGGTTGGATGCAATCCTCAATTACCTCACATACCATAGCCACCTCTTCATCGTTGAACGAGTGATTCAATGTTTGGTCCACCATTTGGCTAATGCTTTTCTTGTCCTTCAGGTATTCTGCAGCCTTTATATATATAACTGCTGCTGTTACAGATGGACTCAAAACAAAATAACATAAACCATGGCGAAAGAAGTAATAAGAAAAGGCGAGTCGTTTACTGGTCTCTAACAAAAAACGCTACATTTACAGCGACAAAAGATCCCATTTCAGTTTTGCAAAATCCCTGCCTAGCCTTGGATGCCTAGGTTTTCAATGTTTTAAGGCAGAATCCTGTAATGAGGTGCAGGTCATTTATTTCCACTATAAATGTATTTGCTCTACCGGGAAGGAGTAAACAGGATCTATTTTCGAGTGGGACGCAGCAAATTAGAAGACCATCCCTAGTAAATATGCAGAGACTTACCCAGTTGAGAAGAGGACCTTGCTCTTCAGTGAAAGGTAGTTTCCCAGAAACAATTTCCAATAACACAAGTCCAAAACAGTATATGTTTTTTTCAGGGTCAGCAAGTGGGGGGAGTTCAGAATGCTCTTCGCTATCTCCACATTTCGACTTTGATGCCAGTTCTTCCCAGAAGCTCATTTCCATAATCTGTTATATATAGAACCACTTCTTTGATTTTACATGAACGGGAAACAATTTTCAAGCAGGAAAAACAACCACCGATACCTTAGCAGCATAATCGTCAGTCAAAAAAATGGTTTTAGACGTGAGATTTGAATGAGGCACAGGTGGGTTTAAATCATGCATGTACTCGATACAATAGGCAGTCCCCATTATAACCCTCATCCTTGTATTCCAGTCAAGATGTTCAACTTCTTTGACTGAAAGCCACAAAAATAATAGATGAAAAATCAGTCACTTGTAAGAGTCCTATCTTGTTTCAGCTCAGAATTAATCAGCTAATACTTTTGGTCTAAAAACTAGCACTTTTCGCATTGCATTGTTCTCTGCTAAATTGGAAAAGTTATACTCCTGTAACAAATTAGGGTTATGTTTGGTCAGAGGCTCAGAGCACAACCTTTAGTTTTGGCAATGTGCAACAACTCTTAAAAGGCATAGTCCTACGTACATTTTTTGTTCTTCTTTTTGTTATCATATTTAACTTGTTTCTTATGTTTTTTATCTTATATTTATCTCAATCTTATCCTCTTTATCTATTCTTATCTTTTTATTTTCTTATCTTTCTTTTCTATTTGGCTCCGATATCATGGATTGATTCATGATAGCCGATCCCAAAATCTTTTGGGAATAAGGCTTGGATTTTGTTGTATTTAACTTGTCCATAACTCCTTTTTTGGCAACTGCATCAAAAACTTAAACCCAGTTGAATTTCACCAAATATGAACATGACTTGTTTGTAAACAAAAAGATGCTTTGATATAGGATTTTTTTGGACAGGGAGCAATTTGTAGCCCAAACGTATTAATTTTGAGCTAAAAGTGATTGGTCTCACGGAGAGAGCTATGTGACACCGTTGACGCAAATTTTGAGTACAACTTCTGAATTTTGATTACTTTTTTTTTTGGAGAAATTTTGATTACTTTTGAAACAACTTCTATATCAAAGTGATTTACATACAGAACCTTGTATCCAGAAAAAGTATTACCATGTAGATGTTCAAAAAGACTTCCATTAGGAGCATACTCAAACACCATCATTCTAGTAAAAGGTTCATCCTCCGCACAATAGCCAATGAGGTTAACAAAGTTTTTGTGGTTGATCCTTGAAAGCGTATCAATCTACATGTGAAAAAATGTTAGCTTTCCCATTGAAAACAAAATGCCAAAGAAGCCAATTTCAAAAAGTATCCGAGTGTGTTTCGATTACTCGTTTTCAAGGAATAAGTGCTTTTTACTAGAGAAAAGAAGCGTTTGGCAGGAAACTTCTAAATTTTAACAGCATAAAAACATTTAATGCTTATAAAGAAAGCATGAGATTGTTGTGTTTTAGATAAATCACTTAAGTGCTTAAATGAGAAAGCATGTATGGTAAAAGCCCTTATACCACAGGCTTCCTAAAGTGTCTCTAACCTTCTTCCTGAAAGCTAGCTCTGCACGTTTGGACCAGTCTTTAAGAGATGTTATGGCAGTTGAAACTACATCGATCTCTACTCCACTTGACAGGTTTCCCTTGTACATAGTGAAAGCAGTATGAATTGTTATAATGTTGCTGAAATCTTCACACGCTGTTTCTAGTTCAGCTCTGTTCAGCTTTGGGACACCTATGTTTTGGATAGGAGAAAAACATGAGTTATACGCACAAACATGAGTTATAGCACAAATTGTGCTAAAATATGACTCCTTTAATCCTAAAAAGAATAAAAGTAGTTAATGTCTTTCTTTTAGGAGTGGACAAGTCCTGTTCTCAAGGGAAAACTATGATAGTTCTGTTTCAAAGACTGTCGTGTTTTAGTCATATTTGAGGAATTTTTCCCATTTTATTCAATGAAAAAAGTAAATGTCAATTTTGGTCCCCATGACTTAAACAGTTTAACTACTAGTCCCTACAAGTTTTGTGTCCCGAACTCTCTGTCACTTATGATCCTTCAGATCACATTTTGGGTAAAAAGAGGATGTAACTTTGCAAGAACTTATAAGTAACTCCTGACAATTTTTACCATAAATATAGTTAGCAGCACCACGGTAGTTAAAAAATGAAACTTGGGCAACAATGTTGATAAGTATTCAATTCAATGACCAAATTGATAAGGAAATGCCATGCGATCAAAATTGATAGGTTCAAGTGTAACCTGTAACAAATGCTTTTTGCAACTGCACACTCAATCCAGTCGTCCAAGGGCCAATAGACCTTGCTGCCCTAGTTCTACAAGTGCAAATGATTGCTACAGTAACAATGAGGGAGAAAACTCCACATGAGATTCCAAACATATACTTCCATCTATTTCCAGATGCTGGAGGTAGAATATTGTTTTGATGTTGAGCAACAATGGGGTTTGTTGTGTTTTGCTGATGTGGCGGCGATAGTGATTGTGTAGGAGGTTTTGCCTTCTTCCCAGGCACAGCCGGAAATGACCCGCTACTTCTGTTGCTTGGCTGAGTAATGAGATTAGCCAGTGCTGGCCCAACATTGGCGGGGGAAGCAGCAATGTTACTTGATTCTTCAAGTAACTTGCGCCGTGTGGGATTTGCTAGATTCTCTAGAGTGTAAATTAATTGTGGTCTGGGTGAACCTGCCAAAGCATAACCAATGAACCCTCAATGAGTGCTAAACAAAAACATTACTATATTTTTCCATATTTCCATGAAAACAACAACATTCAATTCTTAGTCCCAAAAGATTTCGGAGTAAGCAAAATGAATAATACGGAGTATGAAGTAACTACTCACATTAAATTAAACAAGGGAATGAAAGATGAAGATGTGAAGGAACTTAACAATGAATAATATCTTCATTCATTAATATAAAGTAATTAATTCTAAAAATCAAGATACGGAGGATTTGTTTACACAAATATTTTTGGCATTTGTTTTTTTTTCTTTCTTTCTATCTTTAGTAGATTTGATCTTATAAAGACAAAACACTTAATTCTTAAATATCTAAAACTAAATCACACAAATTTTACTATCTTCAGAATTCAAACTTTTTACAATTTTCAAAAGTCATGTAATCACATGACAAACTAGTTCTCGTTCATGAAATTGAACTCTGTTTTGAGTTAAAAAGAACTTTGCAACATGACTCCTTTTATGGAACAGGAATAGAAAATAAATATCACTGAGTAATGAGTAAAAACACCACTTTATTGACTCACATGGAAGCTCATAAGAGCAGCAGCGGGAATTTGTGTTCAATGGTCCTTCTCCAAGCTTGAACCTACAGGGGATAGAATCATTTTTTCTCAGAACGGCAACGTTATGTGGAAAAGGCGAAGGCATGTAAGTAGAAGTTTTTAGTTACCCACAGCGAGAATAGATTGAGGTAACGTATGATTACTGATTTCAGGGTTATCAGCAAGAACCTAGCTTTCTTCAACGGGTTCCAACTGACTTGCCAAATGCTGTAGTGGCAATAAATAAATAGATTAATTAATTAATTTACTAGTTAATTAATTAATTTACTAATTAATTAAATTATTTATTACTCCGTAATGAATAGATAAAAAAATAAAAGTTACCAGTCTTCGCACTTTCTATTGACGCAGCCAGTTCCCAAAGCAAAATCAGCAGTGAGATTCTGGTCAAACTGCAATTCATTCAGAAAATTAAGATTCCCAATCTCAGAAGGAATGATTCCTTCAAAGTTATTGTTACAAAGCAACCTGGGAAAGCAAAAGAGAAAAAGAAAAAGAAAAAAAGAGGAAGGGGTTGGAAAATCGGTTCAGAAGCACATATGTTTTTGCTGCATCAATAACACCATAGTAAAATGAACTCACAAGCTTCTTAGTAGTTGCAGGCCTCCTATCTGTTCTGGAATTGATCCGCTCAAGTTGTTATCCCTAAGATCCAACACTTCCAGCATTTCTAGTTGCCCAAATTCTTGAGGAATTACACCCGAAAAATGGTTCTCAGAGAGTACACTTCCATGCATTTAGACAAAAAAACAAAAGAATAATGCAGACTTTAGCAAGATAACTGAGTCCGTTCAGTAAGGTTTAGAATTCCTGAAGTGGCTGGTTCTGAAGAAGATCAGGCTGATTTGGATGAATATTCCCAACTGTCTAAATATTTATTTATTTATCAAGGTATTTTAACTCAAGAAATTAAAGAACATAAATTCTTAAAAAGGTAGAAGTATCGGTTACAACCACTTCAGCAGAAAAAGTGACTCCTGAACTACATTTATTAACATTATAAGCGCATTCGACCACACTGAAATAAGTAAGTGTTTGGTCACAAAAATGGAAGATAAGGCTAATAAGCCAAAGATGAGTAGATGACGCCTTTCAAACATGCTCTAAAGCTATTTTATTCACAATTTAAACTAACATAAGATGTATGCAGTAAGATTCTGACTTGTAATTTTCTGTAATATCATTTCAAGTTCTAGAAAATGAGAAATAGATATATAAGCATTTTAATTATGAGTGCTTTTGTACTTTGTAGTTTATGGCACAGCCTTTGATAGATAAGCAAACAAGAAGCAACTCAGAACTATCTCACTTAACACTCTAATCCATGAATCAACTTTGCATATTGATGAATTCATAGAGCAATTTATAAGAGAGTAAATTCTTACAGCACTTTCATGTTACAAAGATTTCCGAGTTCAGGTGCTAATGTTCCTTCGATATCTTTTCCATTAAGGTCCCTAACAGAATACAAACAAATACATCAATATTATAGCAGAAACAATGAAGCTAGGTTTTCGGACACATGAACCACTAAAGAAATCTTTCAATTTAATTCTCAAATAGATCCTGAATCTTCTGTCCGGAATCTGATGGAGATGGAGTGGAGTTACCAGGGTTAGAATGAAGTGACTATTTGGTCGCTAAATTCATAGTCTCATCAACCAGTTTTAGGAACAACTAATTTACTTGAGTTCACCCTAATTGATTAATAATAAAAAAAATATAGGGTTATGGGTACTTTTATTAATGAAGTTGCTGAAGATAATCTTTTAAACATATTTTATAAGTATAATTTTCACGACCCAGCAACTTCAACAATTTTAGCAAATAGCAAGTGTAGCCAAAATCACCTTTATGGAACGGGCACTAAATTCATAGAGAATTTTGATGCGGGATTGTTAGTTCACTGTGTTAAGAATAAGTCAAATTTAGCCAATCTTGAATACTCCTCATCGAGCAACACATTTTAACCAACAAAGAAAAGTACTACATCCTCACTTATATTGTAGTAATAAAATAGGAACTTACAGAACTTGCACTTGACCATCCTCGCAATGGATGCCTGACCACATGCACGGGTCACAATTATCCGCATTCCAATCCTCAAGAGCTCCATGTGGATCATATTCCACTCTTGCTCGAAATTCCAACAAAGCCAATCCTGATTATTACACACTACACTCAACTCCAATATATTTAAGACCACCACAAGGAGAACGGATTGAATCTAAAAGTTCATTAAGACTTGTGACTTCATTCTAACAAGTCAAACCTATATGATGAGTAACTTAAGATTTTATGTCCATCTGCCATTTTATAATTAACCTATATTTGTGACATGCTCTTCAATAAAGCGTTAAGTTAAAGATGCATCTTTTACCTTCTGACTTATCACAGCAACATCCATGAACATTAGAGACAAGAATCAAAAGGGCAAGATATGAGAACTGGATTCCATGAATTGTCCATCTACTCCCCATTGCTTAACAATCAAAATGCGAGTACTGTTGCGGCAGTGATAGGTTCTGCCAACAGCTCTATACGAAACCGCCAGCTTTTTCCTTTTTATTACCAAAACGACCATCCTAACAACAACTATTACTGGGTAACAATGGCCTTTACATAACAATATAATGAGTTTCTAGATTTATAAAGTAAAAACCATATTGCAAATGAAACGAGAAATATCTGCCCTCTTTACACATTATTAAAATTTTGCCTCTCATTGGTAATATGGATATCAAACTCAGGCTAGCTATAATACCAGGAAATTCTTGTTATTAACGATTTTCCGAAATTCAATTTAGAGTTTAGATTCAGATAGCTACACAATGATCACAGAATATTGGAGTAAACATATTGACAAACAATTCGCGTGTGGGATGAGGGTTACCATGGGCGAGAATGACCAAATGAGAAAATCTTATTTGGCTGAAAGATGATTTTGAGATTACGTTGGGAGGAGGTGATGGATTGCAGGAATGGTCCCGAAGTATAATAAAGGGTAAGTATGAGGCAATACAGTTACGAATTAAACAGAATATTTTTATAACAAAAGTGGGTTTTTAATGTTCTTTTCTTATTCCTTGACTGCCCTTTCCAGGAGGAAAGTCTCTCTTCTTTGATCCCTCCAACACCCAACAAGCTGTCCAAATACAGTTTCAGAGTTCAACAAATGTCCGCTTTAAAATACAGTTTAGACTGTGAAATAAACAAGCCCGAGAGAAGCAATTAGGCCAAATTACGGACTCAACGCCAAGTTCATTCACGGCGATCCAATATTTGCCTTACTGGCACCAGGAGCGTGAGTCACTAATGGAATAGTTTCATTCTCTATGTTCCATTTTCTAATGATACAGTACCATATCATACTAACGTCAAATAATTTACTTTTTCAATAGTTTAAAAAAAATTTAAAGTATACTCATATTCCAACTCTCCATACAATTATATTTGTCGTATTACATAATTAATAAAGTTGAAATAAACTCTAGTAGGACAATACATAAATCAAGAGTGGTGACATTTAACTTAGAACACTAAACACTACAACTACAAACTATGTATCATCATTATGGACTTAAAAAATTGGTATTTGCTCAAGTAGGCGACTTACGGTATTAGGAACTCATGTCATATATATGTTGAACCTATACTTCATTCCGCTATCGTTTCTCATTTTATGAGAACTTGTCATGACATGGTTTGAAACCGATACGGTACCATGCTGGTTCGATATTTTTGTCCATACCTATTCACAATCTCGGGGTTTCATAGGGCAGTCCCCACACACCTATGAGGAGCAAAACGAGGACTAACTGTTTTGAGATGACGAAGGTTGGCGCTAAACGACAGACTCAAACGGACCTCCTTCTCTGAGAACTCAAACGGAAGCAAGCAACGATGGCAAAAAGCGATGGAGATTTGAATGCAAAAAAAGCTTAAAAGACAACAAGGCACCCGTCCTTGAATTTTATACTTTTGTACGCGGGTGGGGAAAACACCCTAACCCCACTCGTGTGTGCTGATAATGACCGGCCATCAAGTCAGCTATCATATACATCAAAGGTCACCATTAATGATGGGATATCTATTTAATGGCAGGTATTCCCACATTAATCCAGATTCAAACGCTAGATGCTTCAAATTCACTCTCAACCATTCTGCCAACACTAGAAACCCTTTATGTGTTGCAACTTATGTGTGACACCACGAAAGTGTCAACGAATGGTTGGAATTCTGACACTAAAATATGTGTCACTGTTAAGTGTCAGTAAATTGTGACACCTTAGCATCATAAAATATAGTGATATATTTGTGTTTGTATTCTTAATGGCACCTAGACATCATATAAATTAATGATACACTAATATCGGAAACGTATTTGACATGTTGGTATCATAAATGTTTATGACTTATTTGATATCATGTGTGTGCATGTCTATAATAATAAAGTCATATTGATATTTATAAATAAACAAAATATTAAACAACCATATTCATTTCATAACTTAAATTGTCAAATTCACCTATTCAAATATTACAATGCAGATATTTATCAAAGTGAAACAATTTACATACCAAATCGGTTCAACAACTAAAAACTAACACTTCTACTTTCTAAAACAAATGTTAAGCTCATAAGAAAGTGCTCATCCATGCACAATACATCTTCTATTTTATCAAAGGGGAACACAAGAAAATTGGCTAGGTAGCTTGGTAGTTTAATAGTAACCTCCATGCCCAATACATCTTCCATTTGGATTTCTTGTACAACACACTAGGATAAAACTGAAATTCAAGATGAAAATATAATCAAACTCGATCACACAATAAGGTTTAATGATGAAAATTATCAAACTCGGTATAGATATTATCAACGTCAAAATATTGAAGTTGAAATTTTGCTTATCGACTGAATATGTAAGCTATCAGTCATTGTTTACCTCTACTGAAATACCTCTAGAGACTGCGGTGCTGGATTATCTACTGAAAAATAAGCAAAAACGTGGAAGTGTGAAAATCTTTTCTATTCTTTCTGTATATGTCCTATGGGTGGCAACTCAAGGTCAAGTCATATTTTTTATTCTTTCTGTAAACAAATGTTCTTTATCATATGTTATTGTGTATATGAATACAAGAAAGCTTCCATTCCTAATGTGGGGCAGTAATTTTACCCATTGAGAATGGTACATGGCGAATAAGCTTCATCCAAAGGCCTTGAAGACGAAAAATGATCTTGGACTTCAGTTTGAATGGTTTTCTTACTATCTTTTGGCTAGTATACCTTTTCCTGTTATGCCACCCATCTTTGTTTTTGATCTTCTCCTGGACCTAATTGTTTATCCTAACACATCATCATATTACTTTTGAAATATAATAAAATGAAGTAGGAAAATAATGAATAAGCTTAAAAAATAGAGGAACCATGAAATATTACCTCTCAAGCATACTCACAAACACCTTCATGGCATCATTATTGAAAACCCCTCTTCACGAGAAGAGAAATTGTTGTACATCTATTCCTCTTATCTATAATTTTCTTCACCTAAACCATGAAACTTACAATATAGAAAATTACCCGCACGGGTAGCTCAGTTGGTCGAGCGGTGGGAAAAATTGGACGTAGACCAAGGTTCGAATCTCGCAGCGGCCAAAAGGGGGTTTTCAGAACCTGAAATAAGGCTGGCCCTCTGGTGCGCACGGGTAAAGGCCTACTGCCGCTTTGCCGACTGAGTCACCGTGATTTACTCCCCCACCATCCTGTCGGGTCGGGGTGGGGGGGCCCTTGGGGTTGGGGATTCAACCTTTTTGGACGTACAATATAGAAAATTAGAAACATATATAAAAGTTAGAAAACCAATACGAGAAAACCTTTTATCTATACTTTTAACCTGCGTGAATCCTTCTGATTGGTCCACATCAATAGGAGGAGGATTATGACCTGAAATAGAATGAGAAAAAGAGTTTTTGTTTGTGTTTGAGTCCTCAGAAATGATTTCATCAGTGGACCATTTAGTGGTAAGTGTAGTATTTGTATATGATACATGATTATAGGTGTAAATAGGATAAGTGTAGTATCTGTATATGATACGTGATTATAGGTGTAAATATTTCTTTCCTTCTAATTTGTTTGTAACAGCTAAAGAACCATGTATATATGGATTGTTTGGAGCAAGAAATATACAAAATATATTTTACTTCTTAATACTTCTTTGACCTTTTAAAAGAGAGAAACTTCCTTTTTCAAAAGTAAGTGGGATTAAAGTTGCATATCAAGTAATCTGCATCAATGACTTGTAAAGAGTACCTCAATGTGTGCCACAAAACATACATTGATTGGTCCAACCGATCTTTCATGACCACATCTGAAAACATATTTTTTTATGTTTTTCTTATTTTGGAAATGACAATGTGAAGAAAAATAGGTTAAAAGAAATCAAGTTGGGTGATTTCTTAGACATAAATAGGTTTATGTCTTTCATGATCTGCATAAACCATAATTAATCCTTAGACATAACGACAATGAACAAGCAAGTTAGAAAAATATAAAAACTAACAGAGTTTGTCTAGGTGTCGATGCACCAATGCCTCTCTTTCTTCCAGAAAAGCTCCACTGATTACACAAAAAAAGCCAAATGGGTATATTAATAAAAGTAAAAGTAATAACAGTCATAAATAAATAAATAAAAACTATTGTCTAAGTCTAACAAGAGATTAACATAATGATTGGATTATATTTATAAAAGAAAAAATGGAAACATAATCAATGTATGCGACATTTATAGTCAACCTAAAAATGGAAACAGATCATGAAAAAGCAATGAAATGTAACGAGCAAGCACATTCTGGCCAAAGCCCAAAAAAGTCAATTTTGTATGTGTGAAGATGACCTCAAAGCATTGTGCTGTTATTTCCTGTCATCTTCACCATTAAATTAAAGCACCTGTAGATATGGATAGCGAGCCGTTAAAAAAATGGCAGAACATGTCCTTCCCGCCAAAGCCTAGATAACAATTATGCACTTTTTCTTAAATCTCTAAAATAATCACTACCCAAAAATAGACACACATGATCTTCTAATACATAGCTACAATTAGAAGGCTTCCAGGCAACATCACACTTTCTGATTTTTCACTGCTTCACCTTTTAAAATATCCTCATTCTTATGGCTTTTTAGATTGCTCAATAGATCTCTGAAAATAAATGACAGAATCGAGTTATATATCACAAAATCATTAGTTGATCGATGATTCAGAGATGCTTCTGTCTTGCTGTAAAGAGAAGGTCATTATTACTAACCTCAGGGTTTTATCCCAACTTCCAGAAACCAGGTGCATCAGAATGAGTCTTCAATGGACCGTAATTAACCATAATTATCATCATTCCAGTAGCAAAAATCAGTTCATTCAAATCTTCATCTAGTTGTATCCAAGCCAAGATAATGACTCCATCAAACACTAATTTCAGCCTCACCTACCATATTCGGATGACCAAACTGTAATCATCAATAAGGTGTTGAGGATTGTTAAACTAAAGGGTTACCTCTAGTCCTACACCCATTTTGGGGAGGTGTACTCTTTTCTCGATTAGAAATTGTTTCCCACAAGGTTTTTCGTCCTAACGGAATTTCTAACGAGGCATCATCCCGTCCGTTGTGGGCAAGGGACAGGGTATTCCCCAAACCGAGCCGAGTGTGATTCTCAGAAGAGATATTGCTTCACAGAGTGGTGGACTCAAGATGGGGTATATTGTCATATACCATATGGTCTATATCAAAAGGCCCATAACAATAGCCTAAGTTGTATATCGGTTAAGTCGAGGCCATGCGACGAGACCGAGCCGTCATCACTAGCTCTAACACGCACTAGCTTAGCAGGCTCGCTACACACTGTGTCAAGGCACTCTAGCGAGCTCAAGCCCGGTGACCACCACCGTAGATACCTCG